CTACCCCCAGATATGTGAGTCTCCCAGTCTCCCCCAACCGGGGGGGGGAGGGGGCGGGGAGGCAGAATGCTCTGCGGTTTGTAATCAACACGGCCTCCGTCTGCCCGCAGCCATCTGGAGGTTTCTTTGGTCCAACCATCTTTGAACCCTGCGTAGTGTTTCGTTGGTCTTCATTTCCAGTAGTTCCGCGTTGTCACTATGCCATATAATCAGTGTGTCGTCGTGGTAGCCTATGAGACGGGAGTTCTTTGGGATTTCAATATTTGGGAGCATACACCCAAACTTGTATTGTAGGATAATTGCAATATTCAGTTGAATTTAATAATCAATGTTCTAGGGTAAGGAAGCTGTGACATACCAGAATGTCGCACGAGTGTAATACAACGTAATGAAAGCATTTCGAATGTTAAAATCTAAGGAATACGCGTAGCATAGCAATGAACTATAAATATTGAGGCCCCATGCTGGATGCTAGATGAGAATTGTTTTTTTCAAGATTCGGCACGGCCTAATGTCATTAACATGGAATTGATTATGGGAGGTCATTGTAAGTTTATCTTAAATATAAAGAAGCGAATTCTCATTCTTACGGAAGCGGCCAAGCAGTTAACATGGTATGAACATTATGAAATTGCAAGTTTGGCATAATATATTTATGTTGTGGGTAAATGTTTGGTTAATCCATAAAACTGTAGGCTAAGCAGTATTGTTTGAGTTTTAAGTGGGTAAATGTTTGCATTGTTGTAATAGTAGATACATTTGTTGTCGTGTATAAAATTTGCATTTGAAAAATATTTATACTTTGTGTTCATGGGTTTATCTAACGATAGTTATGGGGTGGGAATTATAAATTATTAATTTTAAGAAAATAATAGTCGTGAATAGAGGTTTCACCCGAAGCCTGGTGGGGAAAGTCGCGACGGCCTAATATTAGAGCCAATGTAGGTATTTTCCGAATAGCGGACTGTATAATTAACAGCAGTCTGGTAACATTCAAAGTTTACCCACAAAACATTAGGCTCATAAATTACACCACACGTCATTCACTTTTGAAGAAGACAGCGTCATCTTTTCAACCAAGAAGACATTTCGGAAGCTTATAAACTTTATCAAAGCCGTACAGTTGAATAATGTTGAAAGTCTATAGAATCATGAATTAATAACGAGCTCAAGACATGTTACTAGAATGTTACAATAAATGTTATTTGTTTTTTGAAAATAAAAGGTTGATTTTTCATTAAATTGTCATCAATTCTGTAAGTGGTAAATTCCACAGAAGTTTCAGAAATCGTGATTTCTGTACAGTCACACGTTCCCGTGCAACAAATAAGAGAATGTACGTTGTACGTCGAAGTCATGTAAGATCAGAATAAAAATATAACTATTTAAACTATGAGTAATTAGAGCAGTTTATTTACAATCGTAGCAGAGCAAATTAAATTTAAAAAATCATAAAACGTTGCAAATGGTTACTTAGTTTCGAGAATGATAAAATAAGTTGAGTTAAAGGTAGTTGATAAACCAGAAAGGTTTAATTACGTTACAAATTGGCATGCCCAACGTGGGGCAGGTTCATTTTTGGTTACAATATAATACAAATATAAGTTTTGCTGGATAGAATTTACAATGTAAAAAAAATTGAGTCTTTGCAACTTTCGAAAAATCAGGTTTTCGAACGCATAAATGTACTTCATACTATCGAACAATAAAATTTATTAAAAAACGGAGATTTTTTTTTGAAGACGTGCCAGGAGCTTCTTCTTCATGCTAAAGGAAAGAAAAAGCCAAAAGTTCAAATGGTTAAATATTTATTCTTTTTTATAATTGGTAAAAAAGTAATTACATAACTAGTATTAAAAGTATTACATAACTATTACTCAAGGTGAAAATATATGTGCTGTTTTAGCACTAGTTTTTCTGTAAAGTGTGTAAGTAAAAATATAAAACACTTTTTCTGTGACGGTGCTTTTCATTTTTCCCAAATATTAGGTTTTGAAATTAAATTAATTTTCGAAAAAATGATCGCATCGCTACAGTTAACCACTTTTAACTCGGATTGCAATTGTGCCAGAAATATAATATTGGGCCACATTAAAGAACAAAAGATTCTCTTTCATTTGATGTATACATGGAATTCATTAAATTAAAAAGTATTTTATTTTTATTTCAATAATTTTTCCTAAACTATATATTTTAAAAATTTGAAAAAATAGCATTGAAATCTCTGAAAAGTCCAACAAATTTGCTAAGTGACATAGTGGGAGATTGAGATAATTCTGAGAAATTATAGACAATAGAAATGTCTACTTGCTGTTTTGCTGCGGCGTCTGCTAGAGCGACACTCCTCAAGCACGTGCCAATCAGCATTAGACGATTGTCATTAATGCAATCGTAAAGTGTAAATTAATTAATTTCACAGAGCAATAAATAGAAGTTTCCTTTCGCATCTTACTAAGTGCCAAATCCATACATATGATCTTCAGAGCCGATTAAATCCAAATATAAAAGTGATTAAATTGAGTATTAAACGGACGAAATATTTATATGAATAAGAGCGTGTGATACAATGAAATAGATACTTTTTTATTTCACATTACAGAGAATGAGGTTAAATTATCTTTTCACAAAGAAATGAAACTATTTATTTCCCTTGTGCCTTCCGCTGTTTTTTTTTATCGAATCATTGCAGAAGGAACAGAAGACGAACTTTCTCGGCCAGTTTCTTTATTACTTGTATCAAGTGATACGTTAGGGTAACCAGGGCCAGATTTGCACGTTTATTCGTCAGAGAGGAGATTAATATATAACAATGTTAGAAACCAAATTTTGAAAAAAACAAAAACAAAAGAACGACAGAATCGTCTTAAAGGGTAGCATTTAGCCTATGCATTACCAAAATTTTAAAGAAATAAATTGAATGCCTTTTTGAATAACTCTTGTTTGTGTGTTTTTCCTTTACTATTGCAGATCGTATATCATTGAAATATGGTCGCAAAAACACCTTAATAGTTTCAACAAATCTACATGACCCTAATAAAGTGAACTGAATTATGGAAGACCAATTTTCATTCCAGAATTCTTAATTTTGTAGGTTGTAGGAAGAGAAAACCGATAAAATTCAACTACAATTTCCCAAAATTCGGAGTTAAACGAATGAAAATCGGACTATACGAGCCTTTACAGATGTGATTTTATGTATTCTTACAAGAAATTTTTAACTATGATAATATTTGGAGGCCATTTTTGGAGAAAAATTTTGGAACTGTGCCTAAGGAGCTTAATGTACAAGTTCCGTCCCAAAATTGTAAAGGAATGTTTCTTCAAAATCGGGCTTCGAGTCGAGGCCCAATCGACCTTAGGAAATATCATTTTGGAAAAGAATCTACGTTTGATTTAGCGCTTAGTGGTGTTCACTGGACCGGACGGTTCAAAATAAAAGATATTTGGTTATCAGGGAATTCAAACGTGTGTTTCCGTTGAAATCTCGAAAATCCATTTTCCGCAACATTACGATAGAGCTTTCCATATATATCACAGTAAACGAAGTAACTAGTGGCTGCAGAGGTAGCTAATGTCTTCTGTTGTAATGTTTTCTATTTTTCCTGGCCGCATCCTCTTGCCATCTGCCGTGCTATTCACGCACAAGGCAAACATTTTTTTCGACTAAGTTCTTACTTTTTAGATTTCATAAATAGTGTAGATGAAAAATATTACTTTAAGAATATTAAGAAGTAAATACCTCGATTTCGTAAATATGCAAATTTTGATTGGAAAAATGTATGAGCCCTTGTTTAAGAAGAATGGCTGTTTAAGCGGTTATTTGGTTGAAAAGCGAATTTTTAATGCTCATTCTCCCCAGAAACATTATTTGAGTTTGTCAGAATAAATTATTTATAGTTATTTGACGTACAAATAGCAATAGTGTTTACAATTGGCTGGAAAGGTGCACATTAAACGGTGTGATGTTTGAAGAAAAACACATTTGTAATGAGGTTTTGCAAAAAACGGAAAAAATACCGCCCCAATAAACTGTCATTTAACAGAGCAAAGTTAGCAACTATCGTGTTGGAAACAGTTTTCGAAATGAGTTGAAAGCGTTTAAGTAAAATGGGTTTGAGCGTTTCTGGTCATGTGCGGAATTTTTTAAGCTAATTTTCACAGAAAACTTGAGTTTTGAGAGAACTTTATATGGTGCAGTGCGTTTCAATACATGTACTGCAATCAGATTACAGATTTAAATGATGTAGAAACGAAATCGGCCGTTAATGAAAAATACTAGATGTGAGAAACAAGTTAAAAAAATTACTATGTTTGTAATTTTTGATAAGACAAAAGATAGAGAGAAATATGGCTTTTAATGGCCATCTTTAGTTGTAACATTTAACAATGTCGCTATCAAAAGATTAAAGAAATACAGATGTGGAGGCCGTTTTTCGAAAAAAGTTTGTTTTTGTAATATTTTTAGTTAATGCACATGTTGTAGCGCAGTATGTGCTGTCGAAACAACGAAAATTTTTCAAAAAAAAAATGTGCATGGCCACTTATATGTAATGTGCCAAATCTCTATTTTTCATCTTGTTTAGTTGAGAAAGAAGAATGCCGGTAAAAGGTTTCAACTTTGTAATATTTTCTATAAACAGAGCACCATGGAAATTAGACGCTATGTCAGCCTTTATAAATGTATAAATCAACTGTACTTGTTACAGAAGTTTTAAAAGAAATAATTTTGAAGGAGTTTAAGAAAAATTTGAAATTGTGTCGGGGCTTGGTAAAGAAGCGCTTTTCCAACTGTGGCCAAAGCTTCTCCTCGCCGCCAGACGGACAAGCGCGCTTCGTTCGTTTGGGGAAAAATCCTCGCGCAACGCGCTTTTCGGCTTGCTTCGGCCTTGCTTCGGCTGCTTGCGGCCGCGGGTGAGGCCTGGAAAGGCGCCCCGCCGGCACGGCCGTGACGTGCCGCCAGCCAGCGGCCCCGTCGGCCTGCCTGAAAGGGTTCGTCTTCGTCAGCAACGCACCCAGGCAAGGGCAGCCATCCCACTGCCTGTTGTCGCAGTGGGGCCAATGCTTTTCTGATCCTTCTTGAATGCTCCTGTAAGTGAATTGGTCCTTATAGATTGTGCAAGGTGTATGCATTTCAAGTGGTATTCAGTGGTTACGTTAATGTTTAAAGAGGTTAAATTTGCTCAGTGCATGCAGGGCCACCCTACCGCAATTGCCTGAAACGGCTGACTCCCTCCAGTGGCGGTTGACGCCCAGAGTGTCTAGAGACCCCAATCAACATGACACAGACATTTTCCAAAATAAACTGGACACTAGTTATGTTCCCGCGCGAAACATATTTATATGAAATTCTTAGACGTATAGGTAAACTAAAAAGAATATATTTTGGTAAATTTAAATGGAAATCCGAATTATCTTCTAAAGTCTTGTAAAAGCACCCATTAATGCACAAATTTTTAAATGTATTCCATGCATGAAATATTTACAGATATTTTCACAGCAACTTTTCACCGGAGCAAACTATTCAAAGAAAATGCAACAAAAATTAAATTCAAATTGCCTAATTACGAATATAAAATCATTGTCTCAGTAAGATACGAAAGACTTTCAGTTGTCGAAACATGAATTTAGAAAATCAAAATCTGCGGAATACAGCCAGTTTTCCTTCTCTTAAAATATTGGTTTATGGAAAAAATTAAGCACCTATTGGGAGTTTTTAAAAGTTTGTAAAAAGCCATTGGTACGATCATTTACTCATAGTATATCGCCTTACTGTTGTAATTAGCTGACCGAAGTGAACATTACCTCGTATCGAATTCGTGATATGTGTGGAAAACTGATTAAGTTAGTATATTAACAACGGGGATCCGCCAACCAAGTTGGAAAATGCTGAACAGCAATGAAGAGAGATTTCGGTACGGCTTTCTGATTCATTCCAATATAAACCAGGTTCGCAGTTCAATTTTAGGTCATATTCTCGTCATTCTACAGGGTAAACGATTATGTCCTCTCGTTTAAATACGGAAGGGACAGTTATGCGTTTGCCTGACGATCAAGAAATTCTTGCATAAAGAACAGATAAATCATGCATATAAGATTTTCAAAATCTGAGTCCAAATAATTTGATAGTAAACGGAATTGAAAACGGCAATGAATTCTGTTGACAGTTTCTAATCGCAGCAACTATATACTATATTGAAAATAAACAGTAACAATTTGAATTATGTCAAGGTAACATAATTTCTATGCACTCAACAATTCAGGTCAATACCTCCAATGGAATCGAACTGAATTGAAGCACTAAAACTAGCGCAGGTGTGGCATGAGTTTTTCAGGCGGTCTACTGGTTTCGGCGCTGACGTAACGCGGGTGATATCGTGGGAATCACCCTCCTACGAGTATCAGTTTTTGTAGAGGGCAGTGAAAGGATCCTGCACGGAGTCAGGCCAATGGCCGCGGCCGAATTCCCGCTGGGCCTGCGTTTCTGCATTACGACTCTTCGCGGTTAACGGACCGTTTATTTTAAGTCTGTAAATTTTTTGTCCAAAAACGTGCATGGAATAAACGTATTTTTATACTGGCATACACTTCGTAGATACCGGCGCTTTTTCAGATATCAGGCTCAACAGCCTGTCTAAAGTAATCCACGTAGGGGAAAATACATGTGCGTTGTTGAACAGATATTGCCTTATGACACAAAGAAGATGAAGTCCAAAGTAAAATTATTTTTCTGCTGTGAAACTGTTTCTCAACAATTAGAGACTACACTGACCATAAAAAATAATTTTAACAGTTGTTGCATAAGACATTTATAGCATTCGTCACCATTGCACTGAATAGTTCTTTACGATTAAATCTGACTGTAACAAGCGCCTGAGTTCATGGCATCCATCTGGAATCAGGGTTTCGCGCCCTGTCTCGCTGATCCTTGATAAACTGTGAAGATAGCGGACTTTTGCTTTTGGATGCAAGTATGCCTTCCACTATTCGTAAGCCCAGTGGGTGGTTAGCACATTGTCTTAAGCTCAGTGGGGAATATAGTGATTTGAATAATCCATGTTCCCAATCGCTTCTTCCCAAGGATACAATAAGGATTATGCCAAACTTGCTGTAGCTGAATTGCTTTTACAATCATTTTTCTTTACATTAGAGCGAATACTTTCAGGTCAAGAAATTCCTGTTGCCACATGTATACACAATTTAATTTAATATTTATCCTACTAACCACAGGGATCCACAAGTCAAGAAAACATTTCTTCGACAGTTTTGGCTGTTTGTTAGTCACGTAGTAGGCTTCCGACACAGGTATACACTTATTTTAAATTCAATAAATACAATACATTCCTAGCTGCTTATAAGAAAATGATTATAACCTTGCTTAAAAAGTTAATTTTAGAAAATTATGAAAGTATTAGAATAAACTAGCAATTCAAGTTTAAATTTTTCACTAATAATATAATTGAAATGGTTGTTAATAAATATATAAAAATTAAATGTATATAAATTGGCAGAAAACAGAAAAAAATTTAATTTGAAATAAGTCTGAAAATGCATTTATTGTAGTTGTAGGAAAAGGCCGAAAAAACTTTCGGCGTTTCAAATCTTTTGCAACTTTTGAAAATTTAGAGTTAACTGTGAAAATAGGATCTATGCTAACATTATATGTATATTTTACTCCATATTTTGGAAGAAATTTAAAAGAAAAAAATTGTCACCAGTTTGAGAATTTTTTAAAAATGTCGCATGACTTCATGCAAGTACTTCCACAAATAATGAAGTATTTTCAAAAATCTCAGACCTACCAGTCAAGCCAGTCAACCGAAATATTAAATCTTGAAAGATCTTATAAATAGTTTAGGGTGAGTGGTGTCAGAGACAGTCGACGTTTCGAAAAAAAATACAATACAGGAGACCCCAAACATGTATTTTCGTTGAAAACTTGGAACTCGATTTTTGCAGGATTACATACCATTTTTCATAACTACATAAATTAATGTTTATACGTTGTATACAAAAAAGCATAAAGTACTCAAATCATAAGATCTGCACTTTGGGCTAAAATGTTAAATGAATAATTTATAAGTAAAATTAAAAATCACATGAGTGTATTGATATTTGATACTTGTAATGACCCTCTAGCAATAAATATTCTGTATCGGCACTGTCTACCTCAAACTCCGAAATGAACCAGAGATGATTGGTTTCCTAACTTCATTTTTCGGATATTCCCAACGTTTCCCAAACAATACCATCAGTATTTTCCTCACAACTTTGTTAAGACTATTGTCCCAAGAGGACACAATGTAAATCGCCATAATAATGTCTACAGATTTATCATACTCTGTGATAGAATTTAACCTGTTGTAAAAAATGTCTCCTTATAGGCTTAGAGCAGATTCCAAATTTGGTGTTTCCACATCAATGTTAAGGCTACCTCTATCTCCCACTGTATTTTACAACTGCATGGGAACCTTTGGTTAGTGTTACTCACCTTTACATTGCAATGAAGAGTCTTTCAAAGATATGTCGCATATACCTCCGAATAAATTTTACAAAATTACCATATACTTCTCATTTAATTATTTTTAGTAAATTTATTTACTATTGATGATAATTTGGGCAAGAAAAAACTTGAATTAAAATAATATAAGTATAACCAGTTAATGATAATTTCAGTTAACCAATGTGAGAAACCACAGAACACAAAGCTATTCATTTACAATTTATTATATATTAATGTGATTTGGATATTAAGAATAAGAACAGAAAAAACTTTATATGAATTTGGAGAAGTACAATATGCACACATTTTCTGGAGCTCCAAATCTTTCCCAAAATTTTAACTAGAAATAGTTGAACGGTAAATAAAATTTAGAAAAGCGATGTTACAACATTTTAAAACTTTTCCGAGTCTAGAAAACTTTTTTGATAATAAATTAAACTATGCACTAGAAAACTATTGTATTGTTTAAAATATAATTAGAAATTTACTAGCGACGTTGACGTTGTACTGTAAGAAGGGAAGAGTGCAATTAACTATATACTTACACAAACAAGGATAATAAGATATTATAATTTTTATTTATAAAGTAAGACAATCCAAAGGAAAGGAAACAGGAAAACTATTAAAACAATAAAATAACATTTTGTTTTCTTTATAAAATAAGACAGAAAAAACATTTTACACGAAGAAAAATATTTTAAAAAAAAAACATGTTCAATTGGGTTATTCTCAGTATGGGTGCCAAGGAAGGCGAATTTCTCTGGGCAGTGCTTTGACAGAATAAGTATTGATGAGGGTCAGCTCTGCAGCCCGTGGGCCTACGAAGCCTTAGGAGGCCGGGGAGGCCGCCCTTATGCTGAGCCTCATCGTAGCCTCAGCTTCATCGTCAGCATCATGGTCAGCATCATGGTCAGCACATGGTCAGCATCATGGTCAGCATCATGGTCAGATCATTCGAGCATCATGCAGCATAGGGTCAATATGTCACATCATCGTCAAAGAGCATCAATCACGTCAGGATATCGTCAGGTCATCGCAATCATGGTCTGCTTCATCGTCAGCATCGCCGTCAGCGTCATGGTCAGCGTCATGGTTAGTCGTCATGGTCAGCGTCATGGTCAGCATCACGTCAACATCATAGGACGATTGATGCAGTATGCGATCGAATGCCCGTCAGCGTCATGGTCAGCATCATGGTCAGCTTCATCGTCGTCAGCGTCATGGTCAGCTGTCATGGTCAGCGTCATGGTCAGCATCACCGTCAACATCATGGTCAGCATCGCGCGTCAGCGTCATGGTCAGCATCATAGTCAGCTTCATCGTCGTCAGCGTCATGGTCAGCGTCATGGTCAGCATCATGGTGAGCATCATGGTCAACCTGATCGTCAGCTTGAACAGCAGCAGCCTCGGCTGAGCATTGGCGGCGGTGACGGCGATGGCGAAGCTGTGGATGTCCATGTGCGCGCGCAGCCTGTGCATGTGCACGTGCTGCAGCCAGGCGCGGTGCTCGGCGAAGCGCCGCAGGCAGAACTCGCACGGAAGGCCGCTCCTCGTCGTGCACGAGCAGGTGCAAGAGCAGCGGCGCCCTCCGCGCGAACGTGGGGTTGCACACCTTGCAGCGCAGCGGCGCGTCCAGCCGGTGCACGTGCATGTGCATGCCCAGGTACTTGCTCCTGCTGAACCGCGCGTGGCAGATGTAGCACTCGTGGCGGCCCGTCACGTGCAGGTAGCGGCTGCTCGTTGAAAGCTACTTGCCAGTCCGGACACTCGAAATTCCGCGCGCTCAAAGGCTGCTTCCCTCTCTCCACCTGTGCAGACACACGTCATTAGAGAGAGACACGAGATAAACTCTTTGAATGTTTGCGTTGGGACTGCATTGCTTTAAAGGTAGCAAATTAAAATCCTCATCGAGAGATTTGCTTTTAGCTAATTTCAAATGATTGGTGCGTGATTCTGGGCGCGTGAACTGATAAGATCATTAGTCCCGTAAGTGCGGTGCATGTGTTTTTCTTGAGAAGCGGCGGTGAACGTCCACCGCTGGATTGTGAGATTCGGTGTCGACTCACCGTCGGTTTACGGCGCAGCGTTTCCCCAACCAGGTATCTCCATCACGCGGGTGCCGCCAATCGATCAGATCTAAGCTCCCCACCGGACTCGTGCGTTAGGGCAGTGCTGTATGTGAGAGGTTGGGGAGGGCGAGGTCAGGTGCCCTTGTTGGGTTGTTGAATTCGCCAGTCAGCCGGCCGCTGGAATTGTCCTCCAGACAGCGACTGAAGTCGACCCAGCTACTTGGCTAGTGTCGAAAATTCTCCTGGTCGGGATTTCGAACCTAGGACCTCCCGATCAGATGCACTGCAATAACATCGGTTGATGCCACGTTTCAACTCATTTTTTTCTTTCTTGCCTATTGTTTTGCAATACAGAGAAAGTTTTGTAATGTTGCGGGAAATTTCAACAGAAAAGTGCTAATCGCCAGTCCCTGGTACCGAAAAACTGGGTAAATCTTATTCCTACATGTAGTAAATTACTTCATGAACTGTATGTGTGTCAGAGTTTGTTGAATCTGCGGAAATAATGGCCACTTTTTTTGAAAATTGCATCAAGATGACCTCTTTTATTTAATTCTCTTCTTCGCCACCCGCGAATATTCCGGGAAACTAATTAATTCCCACCCTGATCCCATCACAATCAGTTAAGGACAATTAATTTAATTTAATTTAATTCAATTTACCTCTACATAAATGCTCTACTCCACTTATAAAACAATAATATGAATAAATTTTCTCTAAAATAGAAATTGACGATCTGAGACAAGTCAAAAAATATATTTTTGAAAAAACAAAAGAACAGCAAAATGGCGCATGACACATCCCTTACTACCAGGTCACCATTCCCTTCCACGGATCATCTAATTTAGCACATACCTACGAAAAAGTAAAGAACAAATTAGAGCCGCTTTTGAGTTAATCCTTTTCTTATTTTTTAAATTGCACAAATTGCATGCACATTACGCTAAAACTAATAAATGTTTCAAAAAAATACATGAGTTTGAAGAACTAATTTTGGCTTTAAATTTCCTTGGAAAGAGAAATCTGTCTTTAATTTTGTAGTTGTAGAAAGACACCGAAAAATTCAAACTTTCGCAATTTTCGAAACTTAACCGTGAAAATCGGAACTATGCCACCTATATAAGTGTATTTTACTTTTTTACAAGAAGATTAAATTAAAAATGGCGCCTTTTAAAAAAAATATTAAAATGTCCCGGGGGCTCCATGTAAAGTACCTCTAAATATTAAAGAAAGTGCTTCAATGCTCCGAGACTCGTCTCGAGCCAGATGGTATTCAATTTGGAAGGAATCCAACGCACGGTTCAGGCGCCAGTAGTGCTCGCTGGCGGGCGGGCGGGCGCTTCTTAAAAAAACAAAACTTTTTTTTTCAGTATCAGTGTATTCCAAACTGTTTTTACGTGGAAAACTCGAAATCAACTTTCTGCAGCTTAACACAACTTTCTCTATACTACGTATATTACTCCGTGTATAAGTATGATTTTGAGAAAATAACTAGTGGTGCTCCAGAATGCCACAGGCATTCTTATATTAGTTTTTTTTATTATCTGGTGCGGGGGAGCTATTTGGATCTCTTGCCAGATGCCATCTACGCAGCACGAAGTTCTTTTTTGTCGATTCGTATCGGGTTTGTAATGGTAGAACCGATATATTACTTAAAGCACATATGGAAGAGTAAAACCTCGTCCTATATGGATATTTCCGTTGAAAAGATTGGAGTCTGTTCTAAGAAAACTGCATTCGGGCGCCCGAAGTGAGTCAGCTCTCGACTGCGCGTCTCGAGGCAGAAGCCGAAGAAAGCGCGTTGGGAGCTACGAGGAGCAGAGACCTTCCCTCAGCAGCGGGGAACGTTGCTAGAACGGGTCTACCCACGAGGAGTCGCGGTCGAGGCGACAGAACACCGGATCACACTCACAGGGCCACTGAGGCAGACAGGAAGAGCGACAGAAGAATTAGGCGACACGAGAGGAAAAGCGCCGCCAGGGCCTCGCCCGACCCCCCTCGACGGGGGAAAGAGAGCTATCTGGAACAGCATTTCGCAACTGATTTGGTATTAACAATTTAGTCAAGTGTATGATAACTGATTGGATATTGTCATGTGGTGATAACTGTTAAATAATTCTAATTTAATTTTTGTATAGTAATAAAATTTTAAAAAATATAATAATTATTATTTTTTATTATATCATTTTAAAAACTCTTTTTGGAGCAACGTCAAAGAAATTTCGAACATTAAATACTTGTGATGTAAGCAAAAGAGTTCCTTCTCTGCTGTATTGCCATCGTGTGGCCAGGATTCCGTAATTTGAGTTGTTGTTGCATTGAAAGCATCGCGAAAAGCTTCTCAAAACAAAGATACTATCAATTTAAAAGAAAAAAGTTGCTTCTAACTCACCGTGGGGCTAGCAACCGTGTTCCACCAGGAGGGGTGTCTTCCTCGCTCTTGAAAGTACTCTCCTGCAAAAATAAAACAATTAGTCAACTTGATCACTGCTTTGCATTAACAATCTATACAATAAATATCAATGGGCGTAAAAACGTTACAAACTAGTGCTGCTATAAAATGGCTCATTTTGTGATTCCAAATGGCACAGACTCTTTCATACTAGTTGGTTTCTTAATTTCTTTGGTCTGGTTCAGACTTACCATTTTGCCATCTCAATGCTGTAGCAATCTAAGGTACATAGTTTCCAAGTTTTTTCGCATTTTTTCCGTATTCGAACAGTATATCCGAAATATTACTTTAAGAATATTGAAGAGAGTAAAACCTCGTCCTATATGAAATTTTGGAGCCTTTTTTAAGAACATGTCGAAGCGTTATTTTAATTAGAAATTTGAAGCTCATTTTCACAGAAATCTTTTAACTTTTCAATAAACATATTTTGAAGCCATTTGAAGTACTCTTAATCGCAAATACAGGAATGCATTAAAATGCTGAAAATGTGCATATGAACAATATTAAAGATATTTAAAAAATTGAATTAGTGTATTTTTTGTAACCGCAAAAATACAGCAAAATGAATTCTATGTCATCTTAACCAGTGCAATTTCCCCTATCCATACAAGAGCCAATCCACGTTAATTGCACACACACACACAAAACATAACTATTTTTGTAGCGAGTTGAAACGGTTTTTTGAATTATAGTAGGTTGAAAGTAGGTGACACGATTTCTTTTGTAATCCCACTCCTTTCAGAAATATTACCAATTATATTTTCCAAAAAATCATGTGTGCGCCAAAGTTTAAAATTTCTTTGCGCAAATGCCGTGCCTTCAGAAAAATAAAAATCGCTAAATTTAACCCAAAAACTTGTACTTCTGCCAATACATCTGACAAATTTCAAAGTGGGACAGACATAAGTAATATTTTTTTAAAACAGCGAAGACAGCCGCTCGCAGCCGGGTCGTTGCTCGAACGTCGATGACAGGCGCATCATGGCGTCCAACGCACAGCAACGCGAGACTTCGTCGTGTTATGAATCGCAGAAACACACATACGGTCTCAAATGGAAGTTTCTGACGAAACGCGACTATTAAGTTTATTTAAAAACTACTGACACTGTTAGGGTATGCAGAAGAAGTATATGTGCGATTATTACAATCCGCATTCTTAAGAAGTTAGAAATTGACAGGACGCTGCCAAAAAAACTTTGTGTATTGGAAAAACTAGTTTTTAAAATTCCTTCTCGTGACGTATCAAGTGAAGTTCTTCAAGAAAGTGAGAATCGACTATATCGTTAGTGCGCAGATCATGTGCGCCAGTGCCAAT